TTAGTCGATTGGCGGATCGTTGGACGTTAAAGATCCCATGGCACTATTCGAAAAGAGAAGGGAATTTCTCCCAGTGTCCTGGCCGACAATTCCCTTAGAGATAAAAATAAATGATCATTCACTTCTTGGCTGTTTGTGTGTGCAAATCATCTGCCATGTTCGCCTACAAAATCGAGTCACTACACCTGATCGTAAAATCCTGTGAAGCGCTTTGAGACATCCTCCCAATGAGAAATAATAATCCTTGCATTTGATATAGCGCTTTTCACGTCTTCTAGACGTCTCAAAGCGCTTCACAGAACAGACTGTAAAGTGAATTGACTGAATATTTGTGGACAAAATGCCAGAAAGGCACTGTATGAGATGTAAGGATTAAGTTTCTCCCACAAAATCTACAGTCAATTCCTTTACAGTGTATTCTGTGAGGCGCTTTGATATGTCTCGAAGACGCGATAAGGTGCTATAACAATTGCAAGGGTTATTATTATTATTATCATTATTAATCAGAACATTATTGCTGAATTAATGCTGAGCACAGGTACAGCTCGAGATGTTTCCCCCCTCCGAGTCCTTCATATCAGAGTTCATGTCTCAATGCCAGCAGTGAAGACTCCTCAATATCTATCTCTCAGCCCTGAGTCGGGATAAAAAGGCCAGCGTGCCCACAGCAGACTGTATGTTTAAGCTTGACAGGCTGCCAAAGGCCAAGATAACAATCCCATCAGACTGCTTGTTTGCTCTCGCCGCGCTTGGCTGGTGCTAGTCAATCAGCCTTCCCCAGCAGGTTTCACTGTGCACTCTGCTGACTGACAGCCCATTGCCAGACTGACAAGACTTTGTTAGCAATCGTTGCACGGCTCAGGTTTCTAGACTTTGGAAAGAATTTTTTGGGAAGGGGTGTGGAGCAAGGGAAACGGGGGGGGGGGCGCGGAGGAGGGGGAACAGTCAACAGGAGGCTGAAAGGCTGGCGATCACTCTCAGGTAGTTGTTTGTTGAAAACGAGGATAAATCTCATCTTCTGCAGGAGACAACTTCACCAGTAAAGAGATGCTCTTAATGTGTGCTGCGTAGTCAGTCTGTCTCGGCTGATGGAGCATTGGAACAGGAGTAAGCCATTCAACCCCTCGAGCCTATTCCGCCATTCTATTAGATCATGGCTGATCTGTACCTCAACTCTGTTTACCTGTATTTGCTCCATATCCCATGGTACCTTTAGCTAACAAAAATCTATCATCTCACAAGCATCCAAAGAGAGAGGGTTCCAGATTTCCACTCCCCTGGACTAAGTGGTGGCTGCTTTTCTCAGGGTCAACCACATCTCCAAATCGCACCTCTCACCTCTGCACAGGTATGACTTCCATTTATCCTTCACTCTATCCAATGTGAAGGGTGCTTTACAAATGCAAGTTTTTGTTTGGAGTGTGCGCGCTCTCTCTCTCTCTCCCTCTCTCTTCCCCTGAGGTACGCACTCTACTCACCTATTCCCGAAGAGCCGAGGCGCTGGTTGGCGAGAGCCAAGGTTTGTGGGAGTTTGTGTGGAGGGGGCAGGTTATTAACTGCTGGAGATTAACCTGCCAAAACCAAGCTTCCTGCTACTTGACCAGCTCAGACCACTCTACCCATTAGGGCTTTAGCTTGCAGGGTTAACAGGAGCCAAGGGTTAACCAAAATACAGTCATAACATTTTTTTAATAAAACATTTGCTTTAAAAATACAGTCACTACACTTTACAGTAAAATCCTGCCAAACGCTTTGAGACATCCTCCTGACGTGACAGGCGCCGTATCAAATACTCCTGCCCTCCATTGTCTAGTGCCTTGGGACATCCTCCCAAATGAAAGACGCTACATAAATCCAATTTGTTGTTGAATGGGAAGGATTTCTCAATACAATGACAGAGTGGCTCCGAGATGCTGGACTAGATTGAAAGCAGGGGTTTGAGACAGGAATATTGGGCTTGTGTCTCAGAACAATTGTCTCTGTGTTAGTTTTGCCAAAGAAACAAATGTGCCAAGGGTGGTCTCTGGTGTAGGGGTCGTTTGGCAGGTCACTCAGGTTTCCTGGAAGAAATTTTTTTTTTGATTAACCCAGGAAACCTGGGTTAATCACCCCCACCATTGACTATCCACTTGGCGATGCCTCACAGAGGGTCAACAGTTAGCCCTAACTACTTCCCAGCTAACAGCAACTATCTGGGTGTGGACGTTGGTGGTGTGTTGCCCAGGGTTGGTGAAAGTTCTGTAGCATAGTGTTAAAGTGCTTGCCCCGCAAGCGAGAGTATTTTGAGTTTGATTCCCAAACAGGGTGAAACCTAAGGCAAGTTTCCTTACTCCGCACGGCTATGTTTACCTAGCAGTTAGTTGGAACCTGGTTGTTAGTCGATTGGTGGATCGCTTTCCAGAGGTAATAATCCCTCCAAAAAAAATGGTCACTCAACCCACGACTGTTTGTGTGATACTGCTGTGTGCAATTGGCTGCCGCGTTTCGCCCACAAAATACACAGTCAATCCACTTTACAATATCTTCTGTGAAGCGCTTTGAGATGTCTCAATGATGTGATAAGGTGCTATGTCAAATGCAACGACTATTATTATTATTAAAGGTGTCCAGCATCCCACCAAACCTGTCCATTTCCCCTGTGATTTTTCTCATCGAGCCTGTGCGTGACTTTGATCGCTGCTCCTCTGGAGCAGTCTAGTCCAATGCCTCCATTGCATTCCACTAACATTGCCAGCGCTCCCACTTATTCATTGTTTTATTAAAGGAAATACCAGAGACACAGCTTGCCAATGTCCCTGCTCCCCCTCCACACCACCTACCTTGTGGCTTATGGCTCAGAAATCTGCAGAATTTGGAGAATGTTATTAGAGCTGGCTTCGTCCTCAGGCTGAGTCATCAAAAAACAGGCCTGAAAGCCATCAGCCTTTGTTTTCATAGGCAGACAGCATTCTAACACAGTCGCCAGGTCCAATATCTCACCAATCACGTTACAAGCAAGACGCAGAAACATGTCTGACTTGTGGGTCACCGGGACGCAGGATGATGCCATTTCCTGGGCACATGCAAGGACAGCACTGCTAACATCACTTCCTGTGTGCCATACAGTTAGCCTGTACTGAAGGGCGCTATAATGAGATTTCCCTGAATTATCTTGGCTCAGCCGGTTGCCTGACATAAATGGAAACCCATCACCCTGTTTAAGAGTCTCTAAACCTGATTGGGAGATCCAAATATGTGTGGTTTTCATTTGTCTGGAGAGGCAACTTGATGATTACATGAGGGAGGAATAGAGGGGTATCGGAAAGGGGCTTAGGAGAGGTGTGATTCAATCCCCATCGTCACAATTTGCTTTGTGTGAATTAGAAATTCACCTCCTGATTTTACCTCTCACAGCTGACTCAGGACATTAATTTGTGGCAAAGCTGAGCGAGTCTCTTGATAAAGAGTGTGGAGCCTTGGTGTGGGATATCGACTGCGGAAGTTTGGAATGATCTGCAGCTTCACTCCACCCCTTCCAAATGTCACAAAATCGGTTGAGATGGAAACGGCATTTCGCCCATCACGACATCAAGCTGTTTTTTCAATGAGTCCCAGTGTCCTGGCCTCACCCACACATTCCCTCCTCCCTCAAACAGTGTAATATGTATAGCAGCTGTCTGTAGGCAAACAAGTTGATAAAAGCTGCCTATTCAGCTGGTTGCCAAAGCACCATATCATCAATTACCTCACAGTGTTAGACGAAGAACTCTCACTGCTTGTCAAGCCAACCATCCTGTTACACAAACCCATCATGACCGACATTCCAAACTTTCAAACTAGCCAACAAGTTCAAAACTTAACCTCTCCCCCCCACCCCCACCACGTGCGAAACCCAATTCCAACCTTATCCAATCTTAGGATTTTTCTATAAATTCCCTTCATCTGAATTTTAAAATATACCAAGCCTTGCCTCACATTGTGCCTTTCATGTTGGGAGGATGTCTTAAAGGGCTTCACAGTATTTTATAGTAAAGTGTAGTGACTGTTTATTTTGCAGGCAAACGCAGCAGCCAATTTGCGTCCTACAAACAGACATGAAGAGAATGGTCGATTTTATCTGGGGGATTCTTAGTCAGGACACCAGGAGAAACTCCCTTCTCTATTCCAATAGGATCTTTAACATCTACATGAACAGGCACGGATGGGCCTCGGTTTAACGTCTCATCGAAAGGACTTCACCTCTGACAATGCAGTACAGAGTGCTACCAAGTTGAGCTACGTTGATACCTTTCCTTCACTCTCTCTCCTTCCTTGGCTCAGTCTCCTTCTCGCTCTCTGTCTAACATGTTACAACGATTTCTCGGTTTATATTGACATAGAGGTTTGAGTTTGTAATATCCTCATATCCCAATGTAATACAACCGTACAAACTTTGTCATGATCTGTTTTGACACGAATGTCTTTTTTGAATAAATGAGAAAATTGATCAAAAAATTGACACCTCTCCTCCCCCTCCATTTACCACTGTGACGGGTGTGTTTAAGAGAGAATCTCTAGAAAACAGCCCCCGAACGCATGTTATTAAAACCAACCCAGGCTGTGCATTATTCAGAGCCAAAGCTTGAAGTTCACTGAATTATTAAATTCCATCAATCTTTCTGTGTTTCCCCCCAGGCAATCTCTCACAGTCACTTTACACATAGTTGGAAGGTGATTAATGGATGATGAGATCAGTGACCAAGATTAAACAGGACTCCCCGCCCGCTCTCATTCTGACTCTCTCTCACTCCAACTCTCTCACTTGCTCACTCTAGCTCTCGTTTCCTTCCTCTCTCCCTCGTTTTCTCTCTCCTTTGCTCCTTACCTCTCCTCTCAATCCTAAACACAGAGTCTTGCTTGCTCAGCTGCACAGCTGTTGGGTGGGAATCCATTCATTTTCAACTTAGACACCAAGAAATCTGAATGATTTCAGGCTGTCAATCAAATGAGAATTTGAGACAATTAGACGGAGTGTGACTCACATGAAGGTCTTTTCCTGCCCAGTTGCATTCTTCTCTCCACTCAACAGGAGCTGGCCAGTTTATCTGCAAAACACAAACGCGTTAAATTGTGAGCATCAAGATACCTCAAGATTAACCCTTGATTTCAATGCTAGTCATTATGAGAATAATCATAACACTATTAATAATATTTTAATGATAACCTTAATCCTCACATTTGATACAGCACCTACAATGTTAAGAAACATCTCAAAGCGTTTCACTAAATTTCTGTAAAGTGTAGTGACTGTATTTTGTTGGCAAACACTGCAACTAATTTGCACACAGCGATTTCCTCACAAACAACTACGAAGTGAGTGATCAATTTTATTTGGGGGAATGTCGGAAAGGACGCAGAGAGAAACTCCCATCTATTTTCGAGTAGTGCCATGGAATCTTTAATGTCCACTTGGACAAGCACACACAGGACCTTTGCTTAAAGTCTCATCTGGAGCACCTCCAACAATGTAATGCTCCCTCCAGCACTGCACTGAAGTGTCAGCCTGGACTGTGAGCTCAAAGTTCTGACATGGGGCTTGAACCCACAACCTTCTGACTCAGGGGTGAGAGTGCAACAGACTGAGCCAAGCTGACATCTAGAAAGACAATGCGGTCCTTAAGATGTTTCCACTGAAATTAGATTGGGAATACACTGGGATCTGAAAGCAAAATACCCTTAAATGAAACACAATCATTGAAAGGCACAAGTTTTCGAATAACAGTTCAAAACTTCCTGCAGTGCAAACTTTCATGTTGCTTTAAAAACTGTCAAGAGATTAGAGAGACGGAGAATTTACATGAATCATGAGTCAGAAACAGGAGACTTGTCACCAGCGAAATAAAATAAGAGATTGACATTTTTTTTAAATAGAGGGTTGTTATGCTCCATAATGCCTTACCACAAATTGTTCTTGAGGTTGAGTTCATAACCGCGTTTAAAACGGAATTATGTATGATAATAAAACGCTCAAAGCATTTCAAAGGGATTTGCTGCCAAGCCGTGTGTTTCTAGGCAAAAGCAGCTAGTTTGCGCATTACAATGTCCTACAAACAGCCATGAAGTTAGGACCGATTTTAGCTGTGAGATTGTTGACGAGGACATCATGAGAACTCCCTTCTCTTTTCAAATGGCGCAACAGGATCTTTATTGTCCACCTGAACAGGCACAAACAGGACCTCGGTTTCCAATGTCTCACCTGAACGAAGGCACCTCCAACAATGCAGAAGCTCAGCCCCACCACCACCCCACAGCACTGTATTGGAGCATTAGCTTAGCCTACACAAACTCAAGAGTCTCCGACGCAGGGCTTGAACCAGCAACCTTCTGACTCAAGAGTCGAGCGTGCTACCCACTGAGCCAAGCTGACACGCACGCACACACAATCCCCAGTAAAGTGTCGGAGTAAAAAAACATTCACACAGCAAAGGGGTTAACATGCCATTGAACCCCACACATTACATAATAAGACGCTGTTTCACACTGAGAGCCACGTTAATGTGGACCATACGTCCTACACTTGCACATATTAACCTAGCTAATATTCTGTCTTGGTTCAAGGCCAATTGGCAACCTTGTGTTTCTCCCCACACAACTATTGGCATGAAGCAGATTTGGCAGCAACGCCTTGTGTCAAGATATCGATGTGATGATAATATTTTCTGTCATAACAAATGATGCCACAGCAGCTGCCTGGGGTAGAAAACAAGCAGGAGAGCTGGGCTGGGGGTTGGGAGACGTGATGTTTTGCCATTAAGGCTTCTGATTTTCTGATTCATCCCACAAACAACCCCTCTCCCCCGAATCCAACAAAAATTAAATCAATGTTTATCGAACAAACAACAGGAAAATAAATAATCCTTGCATTTGATATAGCGCCTCATCACGTCTTCGAGACACCTCAATGCGCATCACAGGATATACTGTAAAGTGGATTGAATGTAGTTGTAGGCAATCAGGGCAGCCAGTTGCACACAGTGGTGTCCTACAAACAGCCATGGAGTGATTTGGGGAGTTTATTTGGGGATTGTTGGCCAGGACACCAGGAGAGAGAAGCTCCCTTCTCTGTTCGAATAGCACCGTAGGATCTTTCAGGCAGATGGGACCTCGATTTAACGTCTCACCTGATGGACGGCAGCTCCGACAATACAACACCCCCACCCCCACCCAGCATGGCATTGCAGTGTCAACTTAGACATTGTGATTCCAAGTCCCAACATGGGGCTTGAACCCACAACCTTTTGACTCAGAGGCGAGAGTGCTAACACTGTGCCAGGCGGACACCTCCAATATTCCACCATTTGACACACAGAATTTCATAGAGACAGACTTTGAACAAATAAATTAAAACCATAGGACTGGTGCAGACTTTGCAGAAAGGCTTTTCAAGATTCAGCTAGAAATACACAGTCATTTGGTATACACGGTGTAATGGATGGATATGGCTGCAGTTTACAAACCCGTGCTGAGTTAAGCTGGTCTTAGTTACAGTTGCGTAGGGAGGGAATAACCAGTCAGGATTCCTGCTCCTAGTCCTTCTCTAGCACCCTCTACCGGTTGTGCGTGTGTGTGTGTGTGGCAGTCGGGTGGGGAGAGGTCAGGCTCATCTCTGACACCCTCTACAATAGACTGACCTGTCGGCACTCACAGCCATGGCTCCAAACATGAACAACAGCCACTTGGGGCAGTGGGAGGGGGCAACAGAGGGCAATGAGCACTGGTGGAACCATACCTCAAGAATGAGAAGGCCAGAATAGAGCAGAGTAAGGAGAACATCAGAAAAAATAATTGGACACACCACACTATGCTACACACTCACTCCATAAGAAGAACAACACCAGCAACGGCAACAACAACAAAATTACACTTGTATAGCGTATTTCATATCGGGCGCCTGAGAGTCAGTATTTCGGGGGTCGGGATTGGGGAGGGTGGAGGGCGGGGGTGGGGGAAGAAGGGATCAAAAGCACGGACGAAGAGGAGGGTCTTGAGATGGGTCTTGAAGGAGGCAAGCGAGGGGGCAAGGTGGAGGGACTATGGGATGGAATTCCAGAGGGTGGGGGCAGAGTGGCAGAAGGCCAGCCCGTCAATGGTGGTGCAGGCGAGGCAGGGCACGTTTCAGGACCATATCAGAACTTTATAAACTCCCTACGAAGCCCTTTGGGATATTTTGGAGAGCAACTAGCATATTTACACCCAAAACGTCAGCCAAACCACAGATTCCTTGGTGCTGGGGAGTGTCAGCAACCGGCTCAAATTCGGGATTAGCTGGCACTTGTTCATAAAGTCATAATTTCTTAAATGGGCAAGTCAAGTGTAAATTCCACCGCTGTCACTCACTGAATCAACAAACTAACCCTTTGTACACAGAGCCTGCCTCAGAATGTCCTATCTGCCTCAGTTGTCAGGTCTCAGTTTGAGTGTTTTTTGTGCTTACATTAATTATTGTTAACAGTGGTTGAAAAATAGATTAAAGGGTAGAGAATGGTGACAGCCTGGCTCAGCTGGTAGCACTCTGCCTCAAATCCTTCTGCGTTCAAAGACCCTATCAGGACTTTAAGATCACAATCCAGGCTGACCCTTCAATTCAATGTTGGGGGGAGCACTGCAGTGTCGGAGGTGCCGTCCTTTGGATGAGATGTTAAACCAAGGTCCCATTTCTGCCTATTTGGGTGGATGTTAAAGAACCCATGGCGCTACTGGAAAAAGAGAGGAGAGTTTCTCTCTCCATGTCCAGACCGACAATCCTCCAGATAAAATTGGTCGTTCAGTTCATGGCTGTTTGAGCAGCAGCACTGTGTGCAAACTGGCTGCCGCATTTGCCTGCAAACTACACGATCATTGGCAGCATTTTTAGAGCACAAACCGTTATAACATGAATTTGTGTCTTTGGAGCCAAATCCCAGCTTTACAACGCGGCTGGTTGTACGTCTCACTCTGTACTAATAGTCCTGTAATGTAGTGGTTAAGAGCACTCGCCTCGCAAGCGAGAGGACCCGGGATCAATTCCCGAGCAGGGAGAAAACTTAAGACATGTTTCCTTACTCCACACATCTCTGTTTACCCAGCCGTAAGTAGGAACCTGGTTGTTAGCCGATTATCGGATCTGTTTCTGGGGGTAGTAATCCTTCCAACAAGAAAAAAAAATGTGTTCATTCAATCCCCGACTGCTTGTGGACGGCTGTGCGCAATTGGCTGCCGAGTTTCGCCACCAAAATATCATCAATTCACTTTGCAGTATATTCTACGAAGCACTTAGAGACGTCTCAACAATGTGATAAGCGCTATATCAAATGCAAGGATTATTATTATAATTATTATTATTATTTTTATAGTCGCTCGTGACTTGAGATGTTAAAGTTAGCACGTGCAGAATTCTAACAGGGCTGTCCCTAATAAAATTCCAGATTCCATTGGGACTCCCACATTCCCGTTCCATGATTCCAATGAGGAAAACACGTCAGCAGTTAACATCATTCCTCTGGAATTTTCCCAGTTATATCCGTCTCTCTTGTGAAAAGAGGGGTTCAGTCACAGGCAGACAGCAAACAGAGAGCGCAGAATATGCGTGAGAAAAGAGTGAGAGAGAGAAAGGTGGAGAGAAAGAAGGGCAGAGAGCGAAAAATATAGAGAGAGACATAAAGAGAGAAAGGGGAGAGAAAAAGAGAGAGAGGGGGAGGCAGAAGGAGAGGGAAAAACAGAGAGAGCAAGATATAGCAAAAGGGAAAGAGAGATGGGGGGAAGAAAGCGGGAGAGGGGAGCAGAAAAAGAGAACGAGAAAGAGAAAGAGAGGAGTGAGAAAGGAGAAAGAGAGAGGCGGAGAGGAAGAGAAGAGCAGGGAGAGAGGAGGTAGAGGGAGTAGGAGAGAAGCAGACAGAGAAGAAAAAAAGAAACTGAGAGAGAGAGAGGGGGGGCCAAAGGGAGAGAGAGAAATAAAGAAAAATGAACAAGAAAAAGAAAGGGAAAGAGAATTGCAATCATTGAACGGTTGGTTTGGCCGTGTTGGGCCCGAGTTGGTGCTCGCTCCCCCACTGGACTCTCTACTTCAATCCCACAAAAATCGACGTGACGACGAGACAGGGGACGAGGTGGTGGTGGGTGGGGGGGGGGGGCTGGGTGGAGAGTTGAAAATTGCATCGTAAACATGTTGAAATGTAGCCTAAACGCCAAGGTCTGGTTTACACTCAACTGTACAGCAACTCCGCAAACAATATCCTCCCCACCCTGGCCGGCAGATGTTTTATTCAAAGTGGTGCCCATGTCCACAATTCATATTAACACCAGAGTGTTTTGGGAACAGTTAATCAGAAAAATATTTGAAAAATGCTGGTGTCTTTATTTTATCCACACAACAGCAGACTGTGTCACAACTCCACTCCAAGAGCAGGGGGAGTCTCGCAGTCTCTGAGGGAGGGCGGCTGATATACACTGGGAGTCCTCCGTGCAATGATTTTCTATGGGTTAATTGACTGATACAGGAGCTGGTTCCTTATCCCAGGAAGAAGGACTTGGCTACCATCTCAGGGAAAAACAGCAACAACAACTTGGATTTATATAACGCCCTCCACGCCGGATGGCATCTTAGAGCGCTTCACAGTAATGGATCCCGGGGCCGAGCCGGGGGAGGGGGAGGAAGGTGACCAAAGGCGCGGTTGAAAAGAAAGATCTTTAGCCAAGACCTGAAAATAGGAAGAGAGAGGGCAAGGCGAAGGAAGTGAGGAAGGGAGTTCCAGAACCTCGGGGTGATTTGGGGGACAAGGAAGAGGCCAGACCTGGTGGAGCGAAGGCAACGGGTACTGTGGTGAGGAGAGAGGAGGTCAGAGAGGTGGGGGGGTGCAGAGGAGTGGAGGGATTTGAACACAAGAGTGAGGATCTTGAAATTGATCCTCTCTGGGACAGGCAGCCAGTGCAGTCTGGCAGGGACTGGGGTAATCGGGAGCAGAGTTTGGTGCGAGTAAGAATGCGGGCGGCAGAATTCCGGATGACTTGGATTTTATGAATGGGAGTGGAGGGGAGACCGGTGAGGAGGGCATTTGAATAGTCATTTGAAAACTCTTCAGTGTAATGAGCTCAAAGTTCAAACACACGTTTTTAAATGGATGTGGGTTAGTGTTGCGGACAATACCACACGTTACCTTGAAGGAAATGTTTGCTGGCTCAATACCTACGATGTTCTGGTCATGTCAGTCACACCCTCTGGCTTTATTTCTGTCTCTCCTGTTCTGTTTCGCCCCCTGCCTATCCGTCTTTAAATCCTGCCTAAAAACTTGCCACTTTGATGCATCTACAATCACTTACCTCTTCTCCCTCTGCTTTGCCTCTTATCAAACCAGGTCACTGTAAAGTGTGTGAGACATTATCCTGTGTGAAGATCACCAAATGAACACCAAAGTTGTTGTTGTTACCGCTCTTGTCTCTACCTCTCTCCATCTCCTTGTCTTCCTCTTTTTCTCCCCTTCTCTACCTCTCTCTCTTTCTCCTCTTCTTTCTCTCACGCCGCAGGCTGCTGAAACCCTCATACATGCTTTCATTACATCGAGGCTCGACTATGTAAACTCATTGCTTGTCAGCCTCTCCAACTCCTCCCTCCACAGGCTGCAGATCATCCAGAACTCTGCAGCCCGTGTCTTCTCCCGCACTAAGCTCCGCGACTCAATCACCCCCATCCTCTCTCGCCTCCATTAGCTTCCCATCACACAGAGGATACACTTCAAAGCCCTCCATGGTCTTGCTCCCCCTACCTTTGTGACCTCCTAACCCCCTACCATCCTGCCCACTCCCTCTGCTCAGGAGGCTCCGGCCTGCTTCACGTTCCCCACTTCGCTCGCCCCTCTATTGGTGAGTGGGCCTTCCGCCACTCTGCCCCCATCCTCTGGAACTCCAGCCCACAGTCCCTCCACCTCGTCCCCTCCCTTGCCACCTTCAATACCCATCTCAAGACCCTCCATTTCGACTATGCTTTCGATCTCCCTGCATCCCCCCCTGCCCTCTACCTTTCCCAACCCCGACCCCCAGCTCGGGTCCGTAACTCTGTCTGTCCAGCGCCTTGGGACATCCTCCCGATGTGAAAGGCGCTTTACAAATGTAATTTGGTGGTTGTTGTTGTTCTGTCCCTTTCTTTTTCTCTCCATCTCTTTGTCTTGCACTCTCTCTACCTCAATCTCTTTTCTCCCATTCACCCCTGATCTCTCTGCCTCTCTGTGTAAATGTTAAGGCGAGTGTGTAATGGAAACTCGCCTTACGGGTACCCCAGTAATGAGTTTCCAATACATTCAGGAGTGTTACAGAACAGAGAATGTCAACACGTGTTATTTCAGTACAACTTCCCTCCTTTACATCTGAGACACTGGGGGCAGGGATTCTTCCCACTCGGCTCCCGTTAACCCTGCTAGTCTAAGCCCTAACGGGTAGGGTGGTCTGAGCTGGACAAGCAGCGGGAAGCTTGCCAGACAGCGCACATCATCAATCAAATCCCATTAAATACCTGTCCCCTCCTTGGAAATCTCAACGTCTCCCTCACTCCCATAGAAATTTACAGCACACAGAAGGTCATTCAGGCACCGTGTCTGTCTCTGAAAGAGCAATAATGCATTCAGCTCCCACTGACCCCGTGACGAATTGAAGTCTGCAATTAATCTCTAACACCCGGCTCTCTCCGCTCATCGAACACCGGCCTGCTTCATGTCTACCGCCCAATCCAGCCCACCATCAGCGGGCCAGAAATCAGCCACTCTCCCCCACTCTCTGGAACTCCATTTGAGTCCCCCGACTCACCCCCTACTCCTCACCTTTAAAACCCACCTTAAGACTTTTCTTTGACCATGCTTTTAATCATCTCCCCCACACCTCCATTCTCCCAAGATCGGGGTACCCAGTCAGCTGTCCTCCTGGTATGAAAGGCGCGTATAAATTGTGGGTTCAAGCCCCACATTGGGACTTTGAGCTCAGTGTGTCAAGGCTGACACTCCAGTGCAGTGCTGGGGAGAGTTGCATTGTTAGACGTGAGGTCCTTCTCTGCCTGTTCAGGTGAACATTAAAGATCCCATTACGCAACTCAAAAAGAGAAAGGAGTTGCGTTCCCTTACAAAACACCCAGTCACTCGACTTTACAGTAAAACATGTGAAGCGCTTCGAGATGTCCTCCTGATGGGAAAGGCATTGGATCAAATGCAAAGATTAATATTATTATTATTACATTTCCTCCCCCTTTATCTTCGATAGCACGATAAGGCGTGATTTCAAGGATTATTATTAGTAGTAAATGTGAATATGATTCTGTGTTGTATGTGACTGTTTGCTCACCTTTCTCTCCTGATTGTTGATGTTATCCAGACTGAGAGAGATGAGGTAATCCTTTGCCCCAACAAATAAGCGTCCCCGTTCCTCGTCCATTAACAGGGTATTGTAGCAGCACGAATGGTTTAGTTGGTAGGTAACAAGTCCTCGGGAGGTCAGATCTGCAAATAGCAAGTTTTCTGTCAATGCATCATCACTCAAAAGAGAAATCCTCAGCTGCCAAATGTACCTGCACTGTCAGGATTCCCGGAGAGATTCCGCGACACTATTCATAAAGAGAAGCGAGTATCTCCACCGCGGTATCCTGGTATCCTGGCCAATAATCTCCCAAATCAGATCGCTCACTCACTTCATGGCTGTTTGTGGGGCATTTGCTGTGTGCAAATTGCCTGCCACCAACAAAATACACCCTCACCAGTTGAGATGTTTTGATCAGGAGTTAAAGAGCTTGTCAGCCATTGCACTCAGTGGCAAGTTATGGGGTTTTAGCTGGTTAGATTCCAGCAGTACCCCAACACATACTTTGAGGTCTCCTAGTCTTGCCAACCTGTGCCTAATACTTTCCGGAATTACGTAAGCAGTGGTTAGAGCACTCGCTTTGCAAGTGAGAGACCTGAGTTCAATTCCAGGCAGAGGGCGAAACCTTGGGCAAGTTTCCTTACTCCACACAGAGCCTAATAATAATCCCTCCAAAAAAAAAACAGTAATAAAAAAAATTGGTCATTTTCAATCTACGACTGTTTGTGGGACATTGCTGTGCGCAATTGGCTGCCGCGTTCGCCCACAAATATACAGTCAATTCACTTTACAGTGTGTTCTGTGAAGCGCTTTGGGACGTCCTCCCAACGTGAAAAGCGCTATATCAAATGCAAGGATTATTATATTATTATTATTATTAATGCGTTTCTCCAGGGAGAGAGAGCGCATTCCATTCCAACAATCTATCTCTGGAATTTCCATGTATAGGTGAGATGCCTGGAATTCTGTTTGGTTTGGATACTCTTAAGCACGGTGAAGGGTTTCTGCACGTGCCAGACACCCGGCTGACCAAAACAAATCCTGATAAATAATAATGATAATCCTTGCATTTGATATAGCGCTTTTCACGTCTTCTAGACGTCTCAAAGCACTTCACAGAATAGACTGCAAAGTGAATTGACTGTACATTTCTGGGCGAACGCGGCAGCCAATTGCGCAAAGCAATGTCCCACAAACAGTCGTGGATTGAAATGACCAATTTATTATTGTTTTTAGTTGAGAGATTATTATCAGGCGTGTGAAAGAAGGAAACTTGCTCAACGTTTCGCCCTGCTGGGAATCGAACCCAGGTCTCTCACTTTCAAAGCAAGTGCTCTAACCACTGAGCTACAGGACTCCATTGCACATTAAAATGTCTCAGACCACATCACTTGATCTTACTCTAAAGTGTAGGGAGCCCAGTCAGATGCTTTGAGATGTCCTCCTGGCATGAACGGTGCTATGTAAGTGCTATGGAATCCAGCACAGTTGGTAGCACTCTCGCCTCGGAGTCAGAAGGTTGTGAGTTCTAGCCCCATGTTGGGATTTGGAATACTTAGTCTAAGATGATACTCCATTACAGTGCTAGTGGAGCACAGCATTATTGAGGAACCATCCAGGACACCAAGAGAAACTCCCTTCTGACCCATTTTATTTTATGCAATTCATTTCATGGTTGCTTATGGCACATTGCTGTCCACAAATTGGGCTGTCATGTTCACCTACAAAACATACACTAGGGATAGGCTTATATGGGCAGTATGTCCTGTGAAGCGCTTTGGGATTTCCTCCCAACATGAAAGGTGCAATACCAAATGCAAAAATTATTATTATTTTTGTTGTTACAGTTTAAAACACTCTGTGGAGGTAATTACTAAATAGTTTTCAGTGATGGGTCAGCCAGACCAATAACACTGCCACTTTACATATTAATGTATGTTACTTTTCTTAGCTACTATTGCAGGAGGTTGATATTATGTTCACCAGGTATTTTGTCAAGTCATCTTTGAATAAAATCCCAGTTGCACCGATGATTATATGTTTCCTATATACTGCCACAAACGTCCGCATTCAATTTGTAGATCAATATATTTCCTCATCTTCTCTAGTTCCTTTTTTTTTAAGTGTAATCACTTGGGATAGCGACATCAATAATACTATATGTACAATCTATTTGGTCCTTTATGATAATACCTGATCTGTTACAGGGATTGTCTTGTCTGTATGTACTTGTGAGTTTCAGTGGTGTTATTTTTCAATATCACTTTTGTTGGTTGATGTTCATACCAGTTGACCTTTACATCAATATCAAAGTGTTTGCAAATTGTCCAGTGAATAATTTAGCTATGCTATTATGTCTAATCAGATACTCTGATTGTACTAGGGCTGGACATGTTAACAATATGTGATCTACTTTGTCTGGTGTCTGATGACATATTCAACATTTTGGATCAATGTTTCTTCGTAATAATTATTATTATTTTGCATTTGGCAAGCAGGCCTATGAAGGCTTATGGTGAAAGGGCAGGAAAATTGGATTAAGCTGCAGATCAGTTTTGGTGTAACAAAATAGTCCAGCAGATTGACAAATTGAATGATCAACTCCTGTTCCTATGTTTTGGCATATTACCACATGGTTGCTACAACACTGAACGTGCTAAATGTCAGAAATATTTAACAGAAAGAATGTTTCCTCTGCCCTTATCAACAGACGAGATCTTTTCTAACTCAATAAGTACTGAGGTAATCCATCCCATGAATTCCTGAGTTACACAATCAGTCTCTTAACTTCGAAGCAATGTTTATGAGATTCTTACTGTTTAATCTCGGGACCTGGAGCCCAGTCAGCGGGGTTTTTTAAATTTAGTGTCCCATTATTTGTTTTCCTTTGCCGTGCGCCTCTCCACACTGCTCTGGCCTCCTCTAACTTGGGGTTCATCAGATGCTGGTTAGCCTTTTGTGCCCCTACTCCCATCCAAAATAGCCCACAGAACACAGTCACTCCACTTTACAGTATGTCCTGTTAAGCACTTTGAGGCATCTCAACGACTTGATATGGCACTATATCAAATGCATGTATTATTATTATTGTTGTTGTCCATGTGTGAGCCTTGGCAGTGAGTACTAGCAGGTGACCTACTGTTGAGGACATCACAACCAAGCCTGACCTCTCCCCACCCGGCTACCACGCACACAAACAATAGAGGGCGCTCCAGGAGCAAGAAGCCTGGCTGGTTTTCCCCTCCCTGACCCTAGAAAGATCAGAGCCAATTTAGCCCCTTCAACACAAGAGGACAAAACCCTTGAACCCTATTCCTGTTTGTTACACATGTGGATTCCAGGTCACAGAGGCAGGAAATCAATCTATGCCCCTCATTAGATCTGCAGTGAAAGACTTTACTTCTAATTGCTACATTAACCTTGTAAACCTTTCATATTTGCACAGTGGGCAAGACAGACAAAGAGCGAGCGAGTGAGGGCTAGCCCCTCAATGTTTGAGATGTTTTATATTGCTCCCATCACAAGAGGATTTCCAGCCCACAGCTGTCTTGCTGCAGACACCACACCCACCGCACCCAGTCATTAGCATGTTGTTAATCTAATTAAGCAGCAAAAAGGGCCAATTAAGACTGATGTAATTCGGTGAGAGTAGAGTTGAGGGACACTCCATTCAACAACACAAAACGATTCACACAAAGCACACCAAATACAGCTACACTTACACTTTTATTTAATCTCTTTAACTCATGTATATAAGCTCTGCTACACATGTACCACTCCATCATGTACCACAGTCACAGCCACTGATATTAACACACGGTCCAGCTGAACTCGACTAATTGGGGGCCCTGGTGAAAATGAAAGCTGTTCACAAAGTGTCTCCTCCTGTGATTTAAATAGATTAGTGCAGCGTGAGGCAAAGGCACTGAAATGAATGTGGCCAATAAATGCTAAATGCTTCTCATTGACTGTGGGACTTCAGCACATTTCCAAACTTCCAACAGTGAGATCACTGCATTCAGATTCCTGTACAACCACTTACTGCCCACCTCCCAAACCCTCATCCTGATTTCCCCCCCAACCTGATCATCACCCATCCTGTTCATATCATTCCCTGTTTACCCCATGTTTTCTTTCTTTCTCTGGGTGCTTCGTTGTGTACATGTGGGCAGAAAATTCAAAGATGTGGAATAACTATCGATAACCACACTTTTCGTCCCACCTTTCATTCAGTTACTTGAGGAATGACAAGGAACTCCCTGCGAACTTTCTGGTGGGCAACACATCATTAGCTTGAAGGGTTAACAGGAGCTGAGTGGGAAGAATCCCTGACCCCAGTAACTGGTCTCCCCTCCAAGTGCTGATTGCACTGAGCAAATACTAACTTAACTGGAATTGAGCAAAATAATAAACGGTTTACATTATCCTCAAGCTCACTTAATGGAACCCAATCGAGATAAAAATAAAGTCTTAACCAGCGTCACAAGGTTAACGTTTCAGCTAATAAAATAAATACAAGGCTGAACGCTCCTGAGCTCAGTACGTAAATGATATTCCATATCTAGCAGAGTACAGACGGAGGAACATCCACTCACACACACGCACACACTCACAACAGCAAAACCAGCAGGCCCTACTGTAGCCATGTAACTACACACTGAGTGTCTGGGTTGTGTGTATGCATGTGAGTGTGTGTGCATGTGTGTCTGTGTGTGGGCGTATCTAGTTGTCTCACACACACACATACACACACACAGATACACACACATGTACATTTAGATACGCACATGCATCCAGAAATATGTATACACACACATACACAGCCACACACACACAAGGGTTTGTGAGACAAATGGATACACCCACACACATACAGATATGCAAGCATGGATATGCACACATATGTAGAAATACACACAAACACAAGCCTTGAAGTGTGGGAACAGTTGTGAAACATCCTGTACCCTGTGTGAGAGCAAATCGAGAGTTTACGGGAGCTCGGAGCTGTTCAAAGCTGAAGTGCTCAGAGTTACGAGGCACAGAAAAAGAAACCTGTGACAGAAAAGGCTCCAAAACTGTGCATTAAACGGCACCTCAGGGCCTCTTAAACATTTCATATTCACTTGCTTACAGAACAATTCAACTATGATACGATTAAATCTTAGCTCACCACAAGCTTAGTGAGTTGGCAGGGCACAGAGAGTTACAGGGCTTATAATGTGTAGAGATTCTATAACACGGGCTTGCAATTTACTCTTCACTCAGCACTCGCCTACAAACACATTGTCACTACAATTTACACTAAATCCTGGGAAGCACTTTGAGATGTCCTCCCGACATGAAAGGTGTGTAAATAGTTTCATCCACAAATATAGAGTAAATTTACTTTACAGTATATTCTGTGAAGCGCTTTATGATGTCTCAAAGACGTGATTATGTCAAATGCAAGGATTATTATTATTATTGAATGACATCTGTGTTATTACGATCAGGATTGGGATAGTGAGATCGGAGTAAAATGTTCCTGCTCTGCACCATAATCCACAATGTGATGATTTCGATCCAGTAATTTATTGTTTCCGCCACAACTCCAATGGGTTTATGACAAGGGAGGGGACAGAGAGAGTAGCTGGAAGCGCTCCACTTGCCTCCAGCACCCAAACCATCTGTAACTGAGCTGCCTTGCGGTCGCACCTTATCTCTGAGTCAGAAGGTTGTGGATTCACGCCCCAAGACAGAACTTTTAACTAACTTTCTAGACTGACGCTCCGGTGCGGTGCTGGGGCAGTGCTGCATAGTCAGAGATGCCGTCTTTCAGATGTGATGTAAAACCTGTCTGTCTGTTCAGTGGACTTTCAAGATTCCTTGATACTATTCATCAAGAGAACAGTTCTTCTCCCAGTTTCCTGGCCAACAAGCCCCCAGATAAAATTGGTCATGTGCTTCATGGCTGCTAGTTGGGCATTGCTGTGCACATATTAATTGCCATGTTGGCCTACAAAATAAGGTCACTACACTTTACAGTATATCCTATGAAGCATTTTGAGACATCCTCCCGACATGAAAGGAGTTGTATCAGGCACAAGGATTACTGTTATTATTGTTCCTGCTTTACTGACAAGGCTTCTGATGGAGACTTTCACACTAAACTATCGTCCTGATGGTGACGGCTGGGATCGGTTATTGGAATTTCATAGGAATGAGAATCTCCGGTCACACACACACACACATCAAAACCTTCTCAACAGCTGCCGTCAACAGCTGGCTCTCTGAGTCTCCTCTTGGGCTTGTGTACGCATTGTTTGCTGAAGCTGAGAACCCATTCTGCCAATCACCAGCTTCCCACTTGGCTCACTGGCATTAAAAGTGCAGAGGTAGGCCAATAATAATAATAATACTCACAGATCCTTTTATTTGATCAATTTTATTTGGAGGTTTGTTGCCCAGGACACCAGCAGAGAGAAACTCACTTCGCTTTTCGAATAGTGCCATGGGATATTTAACGGCCGCCTGAACAGGCAGATGGGCTAAGGTCTCAACCAAAGGACGTTGCCTCCAACAATGCAGGACTCCCCCAACACCACATTGGAATGGCAGCTTAGAGTATATGAGTTTCAAGTTCCTAATGTGGGGCTTGAACCCACAACCTACTGAGTCAGAAACGAGAGCGCTATAGACTGAGACGGTAGATCAATTGGTCATTCACCTCCTCTTGCAGGTGACATCAGCAGCGCTTCCTGTGTATGGCATCTGGGAAGTGTTTATTGGTGGCCATTGTTTTCAGATTATGTTCTAACATAAGGTCTGCATTTATGGGCTCCCAAACCCCCACATTATAATGGGACAGTGGCCGGGGGGGGGTGGCGAGTGAGTGTATTGGCCTATTCTGAGAGAGGGGCTTCTTTGTAAAGCCTCACACATTCAAAGTAGAAAGTTCAGCGCGATGCTGGGGAGGGAAGAGGCACTGCGTCTATAACAAAGTTTCTGAACACGGCTCTCGGGACGTCCAGAACAATAGCAGCTCCACAGCATCAATTTCGCACAAACCCTCAGGCAGCATTGATGTCACCGTGCTGACAGTAACTCAATACCACCCCCAACCCCACCCCCCCTCCCCCCCCCCTTTCTCCGCACTCCCACGTCTGCGATCAGAGATGTTTAAGCTGGTATCAAATAGCATTTAATTCAGGCCAGACTGACTGCGTTTCACAGTGAGAGACCAATGCACCCATTAGCTCTCCAGTGCCAGGTGTAGAATTGATGGAAGTTAATGTGCAGTAAGAGGACGGCCGTTATACTATAATGTGCTGCACTGACTGTAGCAATGGCGTAACAAAGTCTTACTGCGGCCGTTGCCCATTTATAGTGCTGTCTGGCCGACGTCCTGTACGGTACGCGCATGTACACCATACGCAGGAAGTGCCACTGACATCACTTCTTGCACGCACTTTCCCTCTCTGCTTTTTAAAAAAAAACTCGCTGCGTGGAGGGCCGCACCTAATCCAGGAAAGTATCGGGCGCGGGTCGGGGGAGGGGAGTGGAGGGAGATAAGGGGTGGGGGACCCCAGAATGTGTGTTGGGCGTAACTGTTGGGAGTCTAACCGCATTGCTTGCTATTGCAAATGCTATCTGGCAAATTTTCTGCTGCGTGTCAAGATCAGACCACCCATCCCTTTAGGGATTTGGCTTGGCGGGAGCCAAGTTGAAAGAATTCAATAGGTTGGGCTCTCAGTTTGAGTAATGTCAAGTTTAGAAGCAACAAATTTATATCGCGCCTTACGTGTCAGGAGGATGACTCAAAGTGCTTCACCGGATTTTATTGTAAACTGTAGTAACTGTGTAGTTTGTCGGCAATACACAGCACCAATACACACGCGGGAATATCCCACAAACAAGCATGAAGCGAACAACCAATTTTATCTTGGGGTTTGTTGGCCAGGATACGTTTCTAATACTGCCGTAGGATTCTTAATGTAGACCGAAACAGGCGCAGGTGGGACCTCGGTTTAGTGTCTCATGTGAAAGCTGCCGCCTGGGACAATGCATTGTGGGGTCTTGTAGCTCAGTGGTTAGAGCACTTGCCTCACAAGCGAGAGACCTGGGTTCGATTCCCGGCAGGGCGAAACCTTGGGCAAATTTCGTTACTCCACATGCCTGATAATAATCCCTCAAGAAAAAAAAACAATAACAATTTGGTCACTTCAATCCACGACTGTTTGTGGGACACTGCTGTGTGCAATTGGCTGCCACGTTTCGCCCACAAAAATGCAGTCAATTCACTTTACAGTATATTCTGTGAAGTGCTTTGAGACGTCTAGACCTGAAAAGCGCTTTATCAAATTCAAAGATTATTTTTATTTATTATTATAACCCTTGTCCACCCAGACTTTCAGCTCAAAGTCCCAATGTGAGGCTTGAACCCCCAACACTAGCTCAAGGCAAGAGCCAGGCAAACATACATACAGAATCATAGAATTATACAGCACCGGAAGAGGCCATTCGGCCCATTGTACCTGAGCCGGCTCTTTGAAGGAGCTATCCAAATTAATCTCACTCCCCCGCTCTCTCCCCATAGCCTTGCAAGTTTGTCCTGGCCAAAATATCTATCCACTTCTCTCTTGAAAGTTGTTATTGAATTGACCTCCACCACCCTTTCAGGCAATGCATTCCAGATCCAAACAACTCACTGTGTGAAAACCTTTCTCCTCACCGCTGCTCTGTTTCTTTTAGCGTTTCTTTTAACAACTATCTTAAATCTGTGTCCTCTGGTTACCGACCCACCCGCCAGTGAAAACTGTTTCACCCTATCGAATCCCCTCATCATTTTGTACACCTCTTTTAAATCTCTCCTTAAACTTTTCTGCTCCAAGGAGAACAAAGCTAGTTTCTCTAGTTTCTCCTCGTAACTGAAGTACCTCATTCCTGGCATATGTTGACCTTTCATCCCCAGTTGCCCTTATGTTGCCTTCCCAGCTAAGGACAATGTGTGAATGATGACATTGAGTTCATTGTGGTAAATGTTCACTCCAAATCATCATTCAGTTCAGGGATTTCGTAGGGAGAAGGGCATCGGTATCAGTTTGGAGATCGGTCTTAAGTTCCTATTGCAAAAGGGTACAGAGCCAGCCTGGGCAAGAGACGTGAAACAACACAGCTCTGTTCACATCAGAGCAAATTATGTCACCGTCAGTGCAGTAATGAAGTAGGAGGAATGACTTCAAGTGTGAGCTCAAACCCATGGCCTTCTTACTCAGCGACGGAGAGTGTTACTGACTGTGCCAGGCTGACAAAAACGATGGAGAAGTTTCTCGTTGGGGACTTTGAGCTCACAGTGCAGACTGACGCTCCAGTGCAGTGCTGGGGGACCTCTGCATCGTGGGAGGTGTCGTTCTTTATCCCACTTGAGCAAAATCTATCCTAGTTGCTCAGAAACTCCCCGAGGCACATCACTGAACACCCTGTGCCCAGGAACTGCTGACGGTCGTCGCTTTGTGTACAGTTACTCACCGTTATAAGACATCTTTAGCCTTGGGTTGAGTCCTTTAGTTTTCCCATGAAAGGCATTCACAGCCACGAGCTGGATCAGGACCCAGTTCCACAGGAGAGCCATGGTTCCCACGGCAACAAGCGAGACCCTCCCTTACGTTACAATCTCGTCCTCTCGGCAGCCGGATCCGATTCCTGAAAAGTGGAAGGGAGACATCATTAGGTCCACTCTCTCCATTGGACAGCGGAGACGACAATAACAAATTACATTTGTACAGCGCCTTTCACGTCGGCCCAAGGCGCTGGACAGTCAACGACTTGGACGATGAAAATAATCTCCTTCCCCCACCCTCACCCCAGCCCACAACCCCCAGCCACACAATGTCCCATTCCACTTGTCCCTATCACACCCCAGACTGCGGGCCGGCAGGTACTGGGGTGGCAACAGAACACGGAATCAGACAGTCAGAGCCAGAGCTTGAGAGCGTGCAACCAAACCAAGAATCCAACCTGCTCCGTTTTCACAGAGACCTAAATATTTCTTCCTTCTCCCCACCCCACCCCCCCCCCCGCCCCCATCCCATGTCTCCCTTCTTTCTCTCCCCATTCCTCCCCTCCTTGAACCCTTCCTCCCTCCATCCCCCTCCGCCCCTCCCCCTCCTGCACCACACAACAAAACACTTGGCTTCGCAAACCTAATCCACTTTCCACATGGAAAGAGTTCCAGGAATGTACTTAACGTTTCCAATTCTCCAGCTCCCTTTCCCTCCAGTCCCCCGTTTCCCCCTCTCACCAGCACGTTTTGGGGGCTCATCCCATCAATGGGACAGGTAATGAGAGAGAGGCAGAGGTCAGTTTGGGCTGTGGGTGTCCTGTTACCTCGCACTGAGCTGCAGTCTGTTTGCGAGTCTCTGTTTAACTCACTCTCTTCCCTTCGCTGCTCTGCACTTTCTTGGCTCGGCTGCACACAGACTCCGCTCAGTGCAAGTGCTGAGCATTGCTGTTGACGCTTAGGTCATGCCAGAGCTGACAGCCAGAGAAAGGAGGGGAGTGGGGAGGGGGGAGCGGGAGAAAGAGAGAGAAAAAGAGAAAGGGAAGGGAGTAGAAGAATGGGCTTAATTAAACAGAAAAGCTTTTCAACTCTCAAAAGCTCTGCTGCCAACCTGTCTAATCTCCTCCCCTGCGCGCAAGCACGAACGGCAAATATTCAAACTAAGGCACAGTTTTTCCATGAAGTGGCTTCTCAAAACAAGGCACGCAATCTGGCACGATGGCGTGAAACTGTTTTGCCGCAATCTTATCTGGTGACCGTTCGCAGTCATGAGGCAGGAATAATAATAATAATCCTTGTGTTTGATTATAGCGCTTTCACAAAGCACTTCGCAGAAGATACTGTAAAGTGAATTGACTGTGTATTTTGTGGGTAAAACGCAGCTGCCAATTGCTCACGCCGGTAATCCACAAAAGTTGTGGATTGAGTGACCTAATTTTTTGTTTGTTTTGGGAGGGATTATTACCCCAGGAAAGCAATCCGCCAATTGACAAACAATCCGATTCCTACTCACTGCTAAGTAAGCAGAGGCGTGTGGAGTAAGGAAACTTGCCTAAGGTTTCGCCCCGCCGGGAATCAAACCCAGTTCCTCTTGCTTGCGAGGCAAGTGCTCTAACCATTGAGCTATAGGACTCCCCTCCCAGCTCCGTAAGGATGACTGAATAAATCTCAACAGATGAGCACCTGATCTGTGCCTGGCCCCAGCAACACCCATCCCATTCCCACCACCCATACTCCTGTCCCTTACGAGGTGGGGGGGGGGGGGCGGGGGGGGTGGTTGCACTGTCAGAGGTATCATCCTGCAGATGAGATGTTAAACTGAGGTCCCATCTGTCTGTTCAGGCGGAGGTTAAAGAATCCATGGCACTATTCGAAAAGAGAAGGGAGTTTCTCCTGGTGTCCTGGCCAACAATCCCCCAGAGAAAAAGCAATTGGTCATTAACTTCATGGCTGTTTGTGGGACACTGTTGTGAGCATTTGCCTACAAATCATTTCATTTCACAGTAATTCCTGTGAAGCGCTTTGAGACTTCCTTCCAACGTGATAAGGTGTTATACCAAATGTGTGGATTATTTATCATTCTTATTATCATTAGTATTATTGAGCCTGCTGATCACATCCAGCTATCAGTAAGGAGTACTACAATTGCTTTCAATAGTGCGAGAAGAAAAGAAATAGGAGCTGTGTCACAGGAGGGGGTCACAGGATTGTGAGCCAGTGCCCCCCACACCCTCCCCTGCACTGGAAAGTTCACTTTAAGATAATCATTTTTACAGCACCTTACGAGTCTTTAGAGCGTCCCAAAGTGCTTCACAGGATGTACTGTAAAATGCACCGATTGTGTATTTTGCAATTAAAAAAACAAAGCACACGGCAAAGCCCCCAAACAGCCATGAAGTGAATGACCGATTGTTTTTTCCCCGGGGGATTGTGGGCTAGGACAGCGTGAGAAACTCAGGCAGTCGGGACCTCGGTTTAACATCTCAGCGAATCTAATAATAATAAATCTTGCATTTGATATAGCGCCTTATCATGTCGTTGAGACGTTTCAAAGCGCTTCACAGAATATAATGCAAGGTGTAGTGACTGTGTGTTTTTTTTGTGAATGACTGTGCCTCTGACAATGCAGCACTCCCCAGCACTGGAGTGTCTGTCTAGATTGTTAGCTCAAAGTCCCTGACGTGGGGATCGAACCCGCAACATTCTGACTCAGAGGCGAGAGTGCTATCGACCGAGCCAGGCTGACACCTTGGGTGAGAGATACAATGATTCTTCAGATTTTTCCATTGGAATTAGACTGGGAATATCCTGGGAACTGCAAGTGAAATACCCTTAAATGAAACACGGTCGTTAAATGGCAGCTTAGAAAAAAGGGGTTGTAGCTTAAAAAGCTACAAAACCGAGATGACCCATGCCTCACCCAAAGAGAATCCCAGCAGAAATGGCTTGCTACACTCCAGATGTTGGAAGGGCTCGGCACAGATGTGAACTTGAAATCAAAGATTTCGCAGTCGCAGGCAGCGAGCCCTGAATTAAACAGACATTCGGAGAATGCAGATGTGAAGGGCACGAAGGAGGCGAGGGGGGGGAAAAGAGCAGTGGAGAGCGATTAGATCAGAGAGTTCCAGTGGGGATGGGATGCGAGCACACCACAGACACCAGGTGACAGCAGAAAATCTAAATCATTCGCTTTACAACATTCAGGGGGGAGGTAAAGTCCAGTGTGAAGTCATTACTGCACAAATACAGTGACTTTTCCTTTGGCAAGATTCAAGATTATTCCAGGTGGTTTGGGGGGGGGGGTGTTGAGTGGGGGAGAGAGGGGTTCAGCACAGAAAGGCCTTTTAATCCTTTCTTGCCCACACAGTCCCAGACCAACCCACACCTCCAATACAGATCCCTGATTCAATGAATTACTCCCTCAAAATGATTGCATATGTAATTATAATTCTTGCATTTAATATCACTATAACCTATCAATTGCAAAGATCTTATAAACATCTTAAAGTACGTCAAAGGATTTACTGTCAAGCGAATTTGTAGGTGAATGCAGCAACCAATAGACGCACAGCAATGTCCCACAGAGAGCTATGAGCTGCCAACTGATGTGGATTTGGGGGACTGATGAGTAGGACACCAGAAAAAACTCTCTTCTCTTTTCCGGGAAAATGTGAACATACTTCATTGCAGTGTGCCAGTTTGGCTCATTCAGTAACACTCTCATCTCTGAGTCAGAAAATTGTGGATTCAAACCCCAGGACCTTGAACTCACAGCCTTGGTCACACTCCGGTGCAGGGCGGAGGAGAGCACTGGATTGTCAGAAGCACCGTCCTTGAACTGAGACGTCAAACCAAGGTCCCGTCTGTGCTTGTTCAGTTCACGTTAAATATCCCATGGCACTATTGGAAAAGAGAATGGAGTTTCTCCGGGTGGCCCGGCCAACAAGCTCCCAGATAAAATTTGTCACTCACCTCATGGCTGGTTTTGGGGACCTTGCTGTGTGGTAAGTGGCTGCTGCGTCATCTACAAATGCACAGTGACTGAACTTTACGGTGTATCTTGTGAAGCACTTTAAGACACCTTGGCAATGTGAGAAGGTACCATATCAAATAAAAGGATTATTATATTATGAACAGTTGGACTCACCCGTGTGAGTGTCAGTCCTGTGTGGGAATAGAGCTGAGTAGGTGGATTGTATAAAACTGCAGCAAGGCTCGTACATACAGTGTAGTGACCTAGCTCTGCCTGATCCCCTGCAAAGGATTTACTGCAGCCTCGAACTTAACAGGCAGCAGGTCCGAGCGGGCGAATTGATTTGGTTGAAAATCTTTGCGTTGTTCAAATAGCATCAATAAGACGTGAAGCAGATATGAGTCACCTCCTTCCCTTCCTCACTGTCCTCAGATGTCTTCTATTAGGGCTGGCTGCAGACTGCAGTGTCGTTCTCGATTTTCCGCCAGCTCACGCCAAGAAAATGTGCAGAAAAATCCAGCCTCTCAGGCCCCAGTCTCAGCCCCGCCATCGGGAGCTGCCACCAACCAGCTCGTATTCCTTATTAATAATAATAATCCTTGCATTTGATATAGCGTCGTTGACGTCTCACAGTGCTTCACAGGATTTACTGTAAAGTAGAGTGTATATTTTGTGGGCGAAACGCAGCAGCCAATTGCGCACAGCAGTGTCTTACAGTCATGGATTGAGTGATTTTTTTTGAGGGATTATTACCCCCGGAAAGTGATCTGCCAATTGACTAACAACCGATTTCCTACCTACTGCTAGGTAAACAGAGGCATGTGAAGTAAGGAAACTTGTCTAGGTTTGCCCCCCACTCGGGAATGGATCCCGGGTCCACTTGCTTGCGAGGCGATCACACTAACCACTACGCTACAGAACTCCACATGATGGGGGTCTAAATCGCTGTATTTCCTAAGCAATTTAATAAGAGGAAACGTTTTGTTATTCTGGTTCGAAAAAATGAAAGGTGCTGAGTGTGTTTGGTAATGACGGGGAATGAGAGAGGGACAACTGGTGGCAGACAACTGGTGGAGAGAGAGAGAGAGTGACAAGCGTTCACATTAACAGTGCTTGATCCAGATCCAAAACCTTTTGCAATTAGACAAGATTTATGCAAGTCTCAGACAG